TTAGCGGTCATTGTGGTAGGTAGTCGGACCTGGTGGGTAGTGATGGTGGTGGTTGTGGTAGTTGTGGTGATGGTGCTAGACGTGTGTGTGTGTGTGTGTGTGTGTGTGTGTGTGTGTGTGTGTGTGTGTGTGTGTGTGTGCCTGCCCGCCTCTGTCCGTTCTTGCCTTCTCGCTCCCCTCTCACTCAGGCACACCCACCCACCCATCACCCATACGCTCTCTCTCTCACTCTCACACACCACACCACACCATCCCAACACCACACCAACACCCCCCCCAAACCCCCAAAGCTGCTACGCATGTAGAACCACCGTCGTCATGTCATGGCCCCCCGTCGGCTGGGCGTCAGTTGCAGAAGGGCTTGGTGGCTTTGGCAGAGGGGAGGCTTCTGGCAGCTGTCAAGTGTGCCACGGTCCGCAAATTGCGTATGCGCCAGGAACGCGGTGCATCAGCCTTGCCCGCCCACCATCGAGGGCGTGCAATGGAAGGGAGCCGCCTGTTGCGCGCACCGAGGCCAGATGCAGCGTTGCATAAACAACAAAGCGTCGTCGTTTTCAGCCGTCAGCCCATCATGGCATGCGTCGAAGCCGGCGCTTGTAGGGTGCTAGGCCCCCATGTGTGTTTCTGCTTGCATACACATGTACACGAGCATTAGCACTCTAGTAGCAGCCCAGCACCACCGCTACCACCACCACAAGCACTCAAGCGCCCCGCGGCCTTGCATCCAAGAGTGTACCCCAGTCCCCCCCCCCCAAAGCTGGCCGTGACTTGTACACATTGAGTACATGGACGAGCAGCGGAAAACGATCTGGCTGGCCTCTCCAACGATCTAACGGCCAAAAGCTCGGCCCGCGCCGGGAAAAATGGTGGACGAGAAGAAGCAAGCAAGAAAAAAGCCGCCTGGTTCTCGAAGCCGGTTCTCGTTGTAGTGCGACGCGTGTAACGCTGGTAGGCTGTCGGTACTTCTGGTGACAGCGGCCAAATTATCGTCGCCTGTCAAGCGTCCGGCCTGGCCACCAGCCCGCCGTGAAACACGACCGTCGCAGTGTCTACGAGGGCGAGGCTGCCACGACCTGTACTCACTTACGCAGTTCCGCTCTCTCTGCAGGGAAAAACGCGCGATGCGCAAGCCACCCATGTCTTGCGCCGTTCCGTCGTGATCGACACAGTCCGTGTTCAAAGCAGATGAACGTCTAGCCGATGCGGCGCCTGCTGCCATCGCCCACCCACCCACCCACACACTCTCTCTTCCTGTCTATGTCTTTCCTTCTCTCGCATACAGCCCACAGATACAAACGCCTTTACTTCCACACGCACAACGAATCACACCACGACTCGCTCCGTCGCGCCCCGAGACACGGCCTCGTCGCCGTGCACTTGTTTCTTTTTCTCGTTGAAGCAGCCTAACTAACCACCAGTGTTTGGGTCGTTTTGCATGTTTCGCACCCGCCCAAAACACCTTTTGTGTTCATTCTGTGTATGTGCGTGTGTACGTGCGTGTATGTGTGTAGCAGAATCAAGAACAACAAAAAAAGAAACCAAGGGCATACGCAATAGCCCCAAACCCACACAGACCCGGCGATGAAAAAAGGCCCCAAAATATCACACAATCCAGTACCGAACAAAGCACGGCGGACGGCGCTGCGGCGTCACCAGTCCCAGGTTCCCAAAACACTGCCAAGAAAGGCGGCACTGGGGGCTGGCGGATGAGTGCGGGTTTCGAAATGACAGGATCGCTCGCCCATAGCTAAACCGCAACTTTTTTTTCCGCCGGCCACACCCCAATTTGCCCTCTTGGGGCTGGCTGGCTGTAGAAGACTATGTAGGTTTGATGAGCGCATGGGTACCTGGGGACTTATCGGCACCACATGCCCGTCCGGCCCCCCCTCGCTTTCATCATGCTTGGGGCCCACGACTCTTTCTCTTGTTGCGTTTGTGTGTGTGTGTGTGTCCATTTGTTCCGCCCGTCATATGTCATCAGTAATGCATTGTAACGCACAAAACCCGCCATGAGCTCTTGTTTGAAGATATGCCCGGGTCCATAAGTTTTGGTTTTTTTTCCATCGGCCGTCGTTTGCAAGCTTGTCATGGATTCGCGTGTCCGGATGTGTGTCACGGCAGAAGCTGCATTCAGCCTTGGAAACACTGTTCCTTCCCACACACGCAGCACGCACACGCACCCCCCACACACCACACACGGCCGCTGAGCGGTAGTGTCAGGTAGTACAGGTCCCTTCATTTCGGAACGATGCACTATCTTCCACGTAGGTGGATTTCCGCGCTGACAACACACACACTCACTCGACATTTCCGCACTCAACCCACTCCTCCCACTCACGCATCATTAACATACCCGCCCACACACTACTGTTTCTGTCAATGAGCCTGAACTGAACAAACGGGCCCCACCCCGGCATGCAACGGCAAGTCTGATTCTTGACCTCATTTCTTCCTACTCGCTCCATTCACACACGCAAACGTGCCTTGAATGACAAGGGGACCATCCGGCCCAGTCCTTTTTTTTGTTGCCTTTCTCCCTATGCTTGGGGTTCCAGGCCGTCGTTACGTCAGGATCGTGGCCGGGACGGGTGCACATTTGCCACGCGCCTGGATAGATTGTTGTACCCTCTGATTCATCAAACCCCGTCCCTTTCATCTCCACCGCCCGGCTCTGCAGCCCCAATCAGCCCTTTTGGCACTTTGCCAATCGTGGCGCTTTGCTTTGGTCGCTGAGGGGCAAAATAGAAAAAACCGTTTGGCGACAAGGTCCAGAAGTCAGTCGCTCACAGACACTTGCAATCCCCCCTCTCTTCGATCTATCGATACGCTGAGAGTAGCTCCGGAAGAAAAAAATAAAAAGACCACAGACACACCAAAGGCCCGCCCCTCACCAATTCAACCCCCTCCCCTACCCTTACATCCTTACCCTGGCCCATGTGCTTTTCCTTTCTTCGCTTGCAGCGTCCATTGCTCCATCATTCCACAGAGAAAGCGCCGCAATGCTCCCCATACTGCATGCAGACAAAAAAGGAAAAGCGTCATGGCCGTCTCGAGGCCATCGATAATTCCATAGCCCTAACTCGTCCACGCCGGCTTCTCTGCCCCTGCCGCTAGTACTACACTGCCGAATCCCCAGTCACTTGACTGTGTTGGCCGGCCCGCTGCTCCTCGACGCCCTGATGTTCGTTCTGCGGAACTGACCCCTGCTCATCCGAACCAGTGGGTGCAACCTCAGGGCCCGTGGCCTCACTCGTTGAGCTGGTGGCCGGCTGAAGAGCCTCGAGCCCTTTGCCATGCTCAACTCTGTCGAACCTGCTAAGTTGACTCTTCGAGGCCACCCGGAGCCCTCGCCACACGTCACTCGCCTTGCTCTCTTCCAATTGCCGCTTTTCTTCGTCACCATCAGCCATGTCCATGTCCAGATCCCTCATTTGCACCCGTTTGCCATACCACTCTGCGTCTGGCACCTTGAACCTGGTCCCGGGCGTGAGCTTGCTTGCCATTATCCACTACTGTCAGTCGGGCCAACGGAGCACGTACCTATCGCTCTGCCGCAGCTGCGAAAGCCCCTTTTCTGCCTCATTGTTGTACAGAAAGTCGAACATGCTGGGCACTCCCATAGGCCGGGCTGCCTTCTTGCTCACTACCGCCTTCTGTGCCCCAGTCTTGGCCTGCTGCAAGTCCGTTGTGGGGACTCGATCTCGGGTGAATGGCTGGCAGTTCTCCATTTTCCACCTTACCCAATTCTTGTCTCGTGAGAGCACCGTATCCACCATCCGGTAGTAGAACTTGCCATCCGGGCCCTCCTGCAGGTAATTTGCAATAGCGTTCTTGATGCCCAATGCCCACTCGGTCTGTGCTCTGTGGTCAGCCGGGTGAAGGATCATCATCGACGCAGAAGCGAGTATGCGTGCGTGACTATGCTCAGGACAGATCCACTTGAGTGGCGACATACCTGCTCCGCCCCAAGCGTGAAATTGTACTGCATCGCCTTCTGGGCATTCTGATAGAATGGCTTGCTCTTGGACTTCTCCGTCAGGGTCAGGAGAAAGTCAATTAGAATCAGTGCTTGGACCAGGATATGCCGTTGAAAGGCGAGGTCGCTCAGCTGGCAATCATCAGTTAGTTAGGTAGTCATAGCGCAGGATCCACTGTGGCAGTGCCACCAAGTACTTGCCTCGAGTCTGAAAAGGTCACGGCTTGTGAGGTATTTTGGGTTGAAGCTGCTGGCAAATGCGTCGTAATCTTCCCCTTCATCCTTTGATACCTGTCCCTTCTTGCGCTCAGAATCCCCCGCTTGGATCACTTTGGGGACCTCTTTGAATTTTGCTAGCGTCGCCTCTAAACCCTGCTGAAACTGTTTGAAATGATCCTCTTCGAACAATCTTGGTGGATTCGAGAAGGAATGCTGTAAGGACCAGAATACCGGGTACAGAGTATCGACATCCAGAGTCTTGGGTTTTCCATCTTTTGCTTCGTCACCATCACCAGTCTGTGTTGTCCTCTCGTCTGACTCGGGCTCTTCTCTGATTTTAGGCACAGAATCATCCCCATCAACTTGCATAGCCTCATCCTGTGGCTGTGAATCCTTCAGAAAATCCTCGAATGTGGTAATGTTCTCGACGTGGAAATTGCCCCGCAAATTCACCGAACTTTTATCGCCCAAGGGAAAGCTCTGAAACATGAAAATATAGACGCGCCCGCAAAACACCGGATCCTCGGCGCGAGACAAGCGTCGAAGAAGCTCATTGCATAGTCGCAAGATGACAAGGTCCTTGTTCTTGGAGTTGATCTGGAAGCTGGTGAGTGAGACAGCCAAGATCAAAGCATCTGACCTACTGCAATGATGGCTTCCCTCCTCGACTCGAGAAAGTTGAACACAACCCGGCACCCTGAAATCGATTGGCTGTCAAGAAGTTCCTCGGTGAGCAGCAGGACAAGCTGTGGAGAACACAAGTCTGTGTGCTTTGTTAGATATACGCCGGCTTGGACGTAAGATGGACATAGGAGGTACCTCGGTCTCCACAGTATTGCAAAATATCGAGGAGGTTCCAAATGGTAACAAACTCCGGTGCTTCAATTCGAGTGGATCCCTGGACATGTAAGCAAGTATCGCAGGGAGGCAATAACAAGATTATGGCGGCTGACAAGATTGGCATAGAAGACACTCTTTGCTGCGCTCTCAACCGCAAGAGTGCGCACTTCCTTTCCACCTTCGATTTCACCCAAAAGAGGCTCGCCTTCCGGTACAAGCTCAGACACCTGCAGTGGGGGGTCGATTGAGGCAACCCGCTTGACCTCACGTGCGCGGCGCAATAGAAAGTCAAGCCTAGGTGCTACCGCATCTGCGGGAAGAAGACCAGGCACGGCCATTGAGCGAGAATACCCGTCGCGTACAGGCTTCAATCACGGGCTGGAATAAGCAGTAGCGCAGACGTGCCTGTGCCGCTGGAGAACAGGAAAATAGGGGCGAGCTTGGTAACGGTGCTACAGTGGCGACTTTGAGCAAGCGGAGAGGTTATGTCCGTATGTCAAGTTCTGGTCATGGAGAGAGAGTGAAGCTACATTTGGGTTCTGAATGGCTTGATAAAGTTGCGCCACAAGTAAGCTTAGCGACAGGGATCCGTGCTCGTGGCTGAACGCGTCCACCGCGTCGCGTCCCATCGCATCCACGCCATACATACGTACACTACGCTTACTCTCCACACACGGGCTGCCACAACCTACGAATCATATAATGGCTCCAGGGAGCCCATCCGCACAAAATGATGACTTTGACGATGACCTGGACGATATACTCAAGGATGTTATAGAACCTGGCAATATAGTTGAATCCACCGAACCCCCCACCCAGCCAGAGCCATGGAAGAAGAATAAGAGCCAGGGTGCCGATACCGCCTTGGGCGTCGACGAGGACATTGTCATAACCAAGAAGCGTCAGCCTGCACCAAAACTTGACGACCAGCGACTCCTATCGGACCCTGGGATTCCCCGTCTGCGCAGAATTTCAAAAGAACGCCTGCGTTTCAAGGGCAAGGGACATGAGGTATGTGCTAGAGAGCATGCATTCACACTTCACGTCTCTGACCAAGACACAGTATGGCGATATTGCACGCATGCTAAACATGTACCAACTTTGGCTCGACGACTTGTACCCCCGCGCCAAGTTTGCAGATGCCCTCGCCATTATCGAGAAAGTTGGACATACAAAACGCATGCAGATTATGCGGAAAGACTGGATCGACGAAGGAAAGCCAAGGCGTGCTGCAGATCGAGACAGCGATGAAGACGATAGGGCTGCAGAAGAGACGGCTGTTCAACGAACCACAGAGGGTATGGATGGCGTGCAAATCAGCACTGGCAATGGTGTCGAACAACAAGGAGGCGTACAAGCGCCAGCATTAGATACGACAGAACACACGACAGGTGAAGGACCTGACGAGGACGAACTGGACGCTTTGCTAGCGCAAAGTGAAGAGCCTACTACTACACTCACAAAGACGCTCCCTACACGGCCCATGCCCACTCAGGACGATCCTTTTGCAGACGAGATGGAAGCCATGGCGGACATGGATGACATGTGGGATTGAGTCAATGTGTGAAGCACCTTCATGATGTAATTGCATAGTGCGGCGTTTGACGAATGTTCATGAGTTACGATTGGGCCGCGTGCGGACGACATCATTTGTGTCAAATTGTCAGCGCGGGCGCCAACAGTAATAGAGTTTCGGCGTGTATGATCGGGCACGGTCCCTAGCGGCAAACTGTATATCTGCCTCGGGATTCAGGTCAAACACTGGAAAAACTGGTTTCCGAAAGCGAGCCCGGTTCTTATATTCATCCTTGAATCAAACAGGAACCAAGATACTCTGATGGTACGCAACGAAAGTGGGGGTTAGAGGGCGACTGTAGAGATTAGAAGAAGAAAAAGCACAAATGACAATACCCTAAAGATACCCAGAATGATTAAAATATCTGTGGAAATAATATACTCCTCGTATTGCTTCTGCCATAAACCGTTAGTAGTCGAATCATTTTTCTTCTTACAGCTGCTGCACTGTGGTTAGGTGCGCCCCGCAGCGCCTCATTCGGCGCGAGGCTTGGCGTGTCCAGCAACGTCATCTATTTTCTCAAGCGCACCATTAGCCACAGGCTCCCAACCACGTTCACCCTCAACCCGTGAACATGGAGGCCTTGTCTGGGCAACTGGAGGAACTACGGCTGAATAGCAGTAAGCTCGATGAAGATGAAGGCTGGATAGACTCATTAGCCGGCAAACAACAAGCATCCAAGCGCCAGCGGAAAACCAAAGAGGCCATCAAAAAGGAGCTCGAGCAAGAGTTTCTAACGCCCTCCCGGTCTTTCAATACGCAGTGGCTTAACCGATTCCAGCAGCGCTGGGATGCTCCTACAAACTATCGCAGTCTGTTTCAGATCGCCCCGACACAAACCCGCACCATTATCCGCTTCACGCGAGAAGGCCTGGAAGGCAGAGTCACTGGATACAAGGAGGTCACTGTGCCTGCAAACTCTGCAACCGCTAAAAACTCTACATCCCTCCTCAGAAAACCCGCTAACAGAGCCGAATTCGTCCGTGGTGCCGCTGGTTTTTTTCCGTTCGCACCTGGTGGTTTAGAAGGCGTGGAAGCAATCGCGGCAATTGAGGACGAGGCCATTCAACAGCAAGAAAATGCTCAAGGAAAGAAAACCGGAGGCCTCAACCGGGTCATCAATTTTAGCGCTGAAGGTGGCCTGCTAGAAATCCCACCCGGGTTCACACGCGGTCTGGATCTGCAGAAGAAACCCGCTACAGATTCGAACGTCGCCCAGGAGGTAGAGGACACTCTGGGACAGGCATCTAATCCTACAGATGAAACCAAGGCTGACGAAGAAGCTGACACTGACAACTTCGGTGCGAACGGGCTTGATGTGCCTGAGGATGGCCAAGACCCGGGAGAAGAAGAAATCGATGCTCTCTTGCCGGTAGAGTTTCCCGCTCTAGCTCCTCATGGTCCCCTTGCTATGGGCACTGCGAGAAAAGGTGGGAGAGAGTGGGCCCACATGGTCGACATCAACCGCGACATCACCAATTTCCGAGAACTTGTACCTGAGATGGCACGGGAATATCCCTTCGAGCTGGATACCTTCCAGAAAGAGGCAGTCTATCATCTTGAGAATGGGGATTCAGTCTTCGTAGCTGCACATACCTCCGCAGGCAAGACTGTCGTTGCAGAATATGCAATTGCACTTGCTGCCAAGCACATGACCAAAGCCATCTACACTTCCCCAATCAAGGCTCTCAGCAACCAAAAGTTCCGCGATTTCCGTCAAACATTTGATGATGTTGGCATTCTGACTGGAGATGTACAGATCAGACCAGAAGCCAGCTGTCTCATCATGACTACAGAGATCCTTCGAAGCATGTTGTACCGTGGCGCTGACTTGATCAGAGACGTCGAGTTTGTCATCTTCGACGAGGTGCACTATGTAAACGACCTGGAACGTGGTGTGGTTTGGGAAGAGGTCATTATTATGCTCCCTGAGCATGTGACACTCATTCTCTTGTCTGCTACTGTTCCAAATACCTATGAATTTGCTTCTTGGGTGGGCCGCACAAAGAAGAAAGACATTTATGTTATATCCACGCCCAAGCGTCCCATCCCACTAGAGCACTATCTTTGGGCTGGAAAAGGCATGCACAAAATTGTCACAGCAGACAAGAAGTTCATCGACAGTGGTTGGAAAGACGCAAACGACATTCTCTCTGGAAAAGACAAGGTCAAGGCACCGGCCGCAAACGACTCACAGGCTGGTAGAGGAGGCGGTGGCCGTGGAGGTTCATCTGCTAGAGGAGGCCAGAACCAACGGGGAAGAGGGCAACAAGGAGGCGGTCGGGGCGGAGCCCCCCGCAGCGGGGGCCCACCAGCAGCCAGAGGCCGTGGAAACATTGCAAGGACAGGCCGTGGCGGAGGCCGTACCACAGCCGCACAAGATCGCAACATATGGGTGCATCTCATTCAACATCTGCGTACCAAAGATCTGTTACCAGCCTGTATATTCGTGTTCTCGAAGAAGCGTTGCGAAGAAAATGCAGAAGCACTCTCGAACATTGATTACTGCACCGCTGCAGAAAAGAGTGCTATTCATATGACCATCGAAAAGTCTCTGGCTAGGCTAAGCCGCGAAGACCGTGAGCTCCCACAGATTAAACGCTTGAGAGAATTACTTGGTCGAGGTATTGCGGTCCATCACGGTGGCATGTTGCCTATTGTCAAAGAAGTCGTAGAAATACTCTTCGCCAAAACGCTCGTCAAGGTCCTCTTTGCAACTGAGACTTTTGCCATGGGCCTTAACCTTCCTACCAGAACGGTTGTATTTTCCGGATTCCGGAAGCACGACGGTCGAGAGTTCCGCGACTTACTCCCTGGTGAATACACTCAGATGGCCGGTCGTGCAGGACGTCGAGGTCTCGACACTGTTGGCACTGTCATCATCTGTGCGCCTGGCGCCGACGAGGCACCACCAGCAGCAAGACTTCGACAGATGATGCTTGGCGAACCCACCAAGCTTAGGTCACAATTCCGCCTCACATACAACATGATGTTGAACCTTTTGCGAGTTGAAGCACTGAAGATTGAAGAGATGATCAAACGGAGTTTCAGCGAGAATGCGACCCAGGCTCTATTGCCAGAGCACCAAGGCAAGGTCAAACTCTCGGAAGCCGAATTGGAGAAGATCAAACGCGAACCTTGCGACATCTGCGATATCGATTTAGAAGCCTGTCACCAGTCTTGTGAGGACTACAAGAGGCTAACCAACGAGATGCATTTGAGCCTACTCATTAACCCTGTTGGGCGGCGAGTTTTTAGCAAGAATCGACTGATTGTCTACAAAAAGGTACACTGTCTACTCCAATACTCGTGCTCGGTCTAACATGTCACTGCTAGGATAATAAACGCACAGCAGGCATGCTCATGCAAGATGGTACGAGCAGAGGCAATGAACCTACGGTGAAGGTCTTGGAAGTGGCGCAACATCAAGATCGTAAGCCTGACGACTTACTGCCATATCTCGGTCCGTTTGCACAGCTATATCGCAAACTGCCGAACAAGCCGGGAGATCTGATTCTCAAAACCGCATTTGTACCCTTGAACGATATCGAGTGTTTTACAAAGACTACCATTGACGTCCCTGACTCTGTCCAAAATCTCAACCGAAAGAAAGGTAAGCGCTTGCCCTAAGGCCGCAATACGGCACTAAAAATACCTCAGATACGCTAAAGCTGGCTCAAGACCAGTTCTTGCCACTGTGCGGGTCATGGGACTACGAAGACTGGGATGAATACGATTACAGCCGCATCAATAGCCTCAAGTTCCGAGAATTGGAAGAGGCTCGCAAGAAGGAGGGACTAAATGCGGTTAGCAAAGAGTGTTTGAGGTGTCCCAACTTCCTAAAACATGTAAGGAATGCGAACTGAGTAGCCGCATATGTATGCATGATGCTAATCGCTGCAGTTTGCCATGGAACACGATCAGTGGCTCATCAAGGAAAACATCCATGCACTCAGACAGCTCATGTCAGACCAGAATCTCCAGCTCCTTCCCGATTACGAACAGCGTATCCAGGTCCTCAAAGATCTTGGTTTTGTTGACGAAGGCTCGCGCGTAGAGCTAAAAGGCAAGGTAGCCTGCGAGGTATGCCCCTCATCTGTCCCACTACTTTCGAGTCATGTCCTTACAGCATCCAGATCCACTCGGCAGACGAGCTGGTCCTTACGGAACTTGTTTTGGAAAACGTACTCGCCGAGTATGAGCCCGAGGAGATCGTCGCACTGCTCTCGGCGTTTGTCTTTCAGGAAAAGACCGATGTGGAGCCCACTCTGACAGCGAGCCTGGAACGCGGCGTGGCCAAGATTGTCCAAATTTCAGAAAAGGTCAACGAGATTCAGACTAAACATCAGGTCATCTTGTCGGCGGATGACTCGAATGACTTCGTCAGCAAGCCCCGCTTTGGAATGGTCGAGGTCGTCTACGAGTGGGCACGCGGTATGTCATTCAATAGGATAACGGATTTGACGGACGTCATGGAGGGTACAATTGTCCGCGTCATTACCCGTTTGGATGAGACATGCCGTGAAGTCAAGAACGCAGCTCGGATTATCGGAGATCCGACGCTCTTTCAAAAGATGGGAACATGCCAGGAACTTATCAAACGGTATGTGCACCTTTTTTGTTTCCGGAATCTCGTCCCGAGTTCCACGGTAAGGGTGTTGTATGATGGCGGTATTTGTTTGCTGACGGCAGTTTCTGAAACAGGGACATTTGCAATTGTGCCAGTCTGTACCTGTAGTGGGCCCGCCAGCTTACAGGTACATGCTTTCAGAAAGACGGCGTGGGTAACCTTGGCGCATGGACCATGCTGGGGCAGGCCGAATGTTTCAAGTTTTTGTTTGAACGGGAGCATGGATCACGTCCTGCAACAAGGAAGATTTCCCTCCCGCGCCACTTGTTGGGAAGGGAGACGGGAAGATGGCCATTGCGATCGACAAAACTCGCTTTCGCTTATCGGTTTCAAGCTCCGTGTTTTAGCTATGGACATGGGGGAGGTCTTACGCTTCCCCGACAACAGGTACGCGGTAACATCATGAATCAAACACTACCTGGGAATCCCGTGAATGTGGCTTGACAAACACGACAGCCCATCGTGGCCATGACGATGGCTGTGTTTCAGGTCTTCAACCCCAGCGAAAATCCGTACTGGGAATAACTTGCGATTGCACTACACATGCCAAAATAACTACCCGTAATTTGCAAATCATATTGCGTACCCTCTTTCTTTGTCTCCCTTCCCCTTGCTAGGATCATTACGCACGCGCAACTTGTTCAATTACCCCAATGTTCATATTCAAGCTATCGATTGCTTGGCTTTTGTTTCTAAACGCTCGGGAATGTAACCAAGTACTACAACAACATCACCCCATCCATACCCTATTATGATCACCATGTCTTGTGAATCATACCGCAATGATCTCTCTCCTTCCTCCTTCCTCATCTCATAGAAAAGAGGGAGAGATGATGGCCTACATGGATGTGTGAAGCGGACAAGAATACAAGGAAATTACCCGCATTGCAATGCACGCGCCTTTCGGAACGGGGGAGGGAAGTGGCACAGGCAACAAGGCAAACCGCACATGCACACACGCCGCACGCATGCGCGCGCGCGCGAACGCATACGGGGAACACACTGGTAAACAAAAACGAGGGTGAGGCATAAACATGCGCAAAATCGGTAAATTGCATGACCCTACCTAACCGCTTCTGCATACTTGATTTGGCAATTGCTTTTTTTGGGGGTTCCCGCGGGGGGAAAGTAAGGGTGTGCCCATCGCGTATGTGTGCCGTTTGGATGTGCGTGCGTTGGGGGTTGGCGGGTGCGTGCGTGAGGACGTTGTGTGTAGATTTGCTTCTTTTGTTCGTTTGGGTGCGTGGCCGTTTGAACGGTTGTTAGCGCTGTTGATCTGAAAAGAGAGTCTTTGTGCGTTGAGTAGGGTGGGTGGAGGTGTATGGGGGTAGGTTATGAATGGTAATAGGATGGTTGATGGAGTAGCATAGTGTGATGATGTGCTTGACTCTGTTCTTGAATGCGTGGTGTGAATGGAGAGGTTTCACTCCGATGTTTGTGATGAGTACGCATTGCACAGTGGAGTTTATCTTTCTGGCGAGCTTTCAGCCACTATCACCATCACGTTTTTTAGATTCTCTTGTTTGTACCTTTTCCTGTCTAAATATCCACCTCGATTAAGTCAGGTTGTGAAACTAATTGAGAACATCCTCACCGCAAGAGTCCAATTCGCAGCGAGCTGAGTTCAAGTGGCGTTTCCAACTAGGAAAGAGTTAACATTCGGTCGTGATTTGCGTCTCTGTATTCGCTTCTCTGGCCACCGTTGGTGTATTGAGTACACTCTAGTAGCCGCTTAGGAGATTTAACGAGATGTCAGATTCGTACTTCTTGAGTGACTGCGGAAACGATTATGATGGCATCGCATGTAACATAGTTTTCTGCCATTATCCATCGGATAACTTACTGATGAGGAGCTTTGTCAGTCGATTATTTCTCATCTTTGAAGGCAGATATCTCCTTGAGCTACCTATAACAAACTTTGAGAAGGTCTTGGTAGTGATTTTGCATTCACAACTTCCAATGCTGAAATCTTTGTAAGAGAATAATAGCTTTGGGAATAAGAGATATGGTAGGACATGAAATTGGAAGTGAGTTGCGAAAATTTAGTCTAGACAGCTACTAAAGCACGGATTAGTCGATACTTATGGCGAGATTCATAGTTTGGCGTTTATTTTCATTCTAACTTGAAGTCCGTTAGGGAACCCTAACTTCGATAAGATTCTGGACTCACTCGAAATAGAGGCTTCCAGAGGTATCACATCTCTAAAATCAAAGTAAATGAGAGGAATCAATTCAATATCTTCTAGCTACTTGCCGAACGTGGACCATTCATTGTAAATTTCTCCTTGATGCTCATTCGGGTTGTGATGTGATGCATAGAAGATTTCCGAGCCATATAGCTAGTATCAATCTACATAGCTGAAAAGTTAAAAGGCAAGTCTCTTACGCAGACGATACTGGATATATATCTTCGGGTGCTTCAGAAAATCCTCCAAGTAGTTGTACACAATTTCTTCGTGTCAATGTATTGTTTTTATGCTCCAAGTTGGGGAAATCGAGCATATTCTCAACATGTTGGGAGATTTTGGTGAAGATAAGTGATCACAACAAGCAAGCTACTCTAACTTATCGGTACTTGAGAGGTTTATCGGCACGAGAGCTAGAGATATAGGGGCGAGGTCTAGTGCCAGGTTCCATTGCAAGTGTATCGGTAAACCTATATAGAGCGGGTACTCGACAATGCCTAACTGGCAAGCGGTTAACGCGTACGTTCGAGATCGACCCATTTCTTTTTAATGAGTTCTACAAATCTCCAAGATGCTGCTGCATACAGTAGAGTGTAAATATTGACGCGACTTAGGAACCTTGACAACCTCAACTTCAGTCAAAGCACCTGATGTCTTGTAGTATTCTGCACACACTGCACAATACAGTACTGCTATTATTCATCTTTATCTAACAGTGGCAGGTCTAAAATTGCTTCTAGTAAATTCTGCAGTGCAGTCAGCACGGATTATGCACCTGGATGCCATAAAGCAGTATGTAACACTTCCACTCACTTCAGCATCGAAGTGAGTGGCATACTTGTATTCTTGAACAAGCGCTATGGCCTTTTCTGAGAGCAAGTGTTTGATCAATGCGACTAATCGCGCACTACTAGTGGGTAACACTAAGACATGAATTTTAGCTTTTTTTTTAAAACGGCGATCATCTGTCATGAATAGAACCCTATGTGGATAAGCGAGGGGGGAGAGGCAAGAAACTAGGTCCCTGATCAGCGCTGTTTCGACTTCACTATTTCAAATGAGAAGTAGGCGTCGATCTCAGGACTTTTTATCCATGATCTCTGCGGTGGTATCGATACCTAACTCTAGTTGAATGGATGACCGCACAATAAAATATCCACACGAACCACATACGTAAAGACACAAATCTAAGACAAGAAGAGGAGCGTCGCCGCTTCGTTCAAATTCAGTCTTAAAGAGGGAAACCTATAAACATATCCTGTGTGTATCCCAAAGATCTAACAAAAAGGAACGCCAGATATATCACCACCCAAACTTCTCAACCTGAACATCTACATCTCTACCATTGTATATCATCTTCACACACGTATTCCTCACATCCCTCACTAATCCATCAGGCCCACTAACCACAACACCCGTTCTGCCCCCTTTCCTTGTTTCCTGCTCTACCCACTCCCTCAAAATATATCCGACATTTGGTCGTCCGGCCGTACTAGTCGGGGGCGGAATGAGTACGTCCAAGCCCCAGTTTTCGAGTTCCTCAAGTTTACTGTCCGGGATCCACAGGCGGTGGTCGGGCGCATGAGTAATCCAGAGTAACTTGACTTTCCTCTTGGTGCGGATGGAAGCGGTTTCGGGATCGGTTGAAGAGGGGCAGAGAAGGGAGTGAACAAGGGGATATGCGACTGCAATTCCAGAGCCGCCTGCGATGAGAATGGTAGTATTAGAAGCTTCAAGCATATCCAGAGCGTGGGAGGAGCCATAGGGACCATCAAGGCGGATGCGGGTTTGCGAGGTGGTGCGGGCGTGTTGGAGGAGGGTACGAGTGAAGCCTGATTCGGCTTGGGCGCGAATAAGCAGGGTGAACCATGCGTGTTTTCCTTGCGAATCGTCGTTTGTTGTTGTCGGAGCAGCGGAAAATATGGTAAACGGATGAGATTGTATGGCGTGTTTTCGGGACAAGGCGGGTACAGTAAGGAAGATGTGTTCATTCGGTTTCCATCCTTGCCTCATGTTCTTCGGTGCTAGTGCAGACTTTCGAGAAGCTACTTCCCAGTTTGCGGAGACGAGGAAGGTTTCGTCATCTTCGAGGACGGTAAGGGTTGCGGGATGCGTGCTCGATTTCAGCCACAGCCGATACACGAGTCTGTCGATAAGGAAGATGGCAAGGGAAATACCAACATATGGCCTGGAGGTGTGGTGGTGGAACCATAGGAACACCAGTCCGGCGACTTGGAGCACTATGTGAAGGCCCAGAAATATCTCGTACCACCTCTGCCGGAAACTGCCTAGACTCGTAAAGTAGATCAACTCGTATGCGATGAAGGCAGCCAAGCCTAGAAGAACCACACGGTTGAACAGGAACTTGACCAGCGTGAAACCCAGATGTCTCAGCATCCCGTACCATACGGCTATCATGCCTAAAAAGTGCAAGAAAGCCTCCAAGCACATGAGTTCACCAACCCTTCGATGAAAGATGTTCAGGCTCTCGTAAGAATAGCCTGTCAAAAACTTGATGGGCTGATTCTTTGCGGCTAGAAGGTATAGCAAAGGCAGATTTGCGACGAAGATGAGGCCACATCGGTCGGCAAATACGAAGAGGTAGAAGAAGGTCAAGGGCATGCGGTAGAGGTTATAGAAGATGTTCAAGCCAACCCATGCGAGGACAAGCAGTGAGACGGCGTTGGTAGGAAGCGTTTTGTTGATGACGGGTATGCGAGGCGGTTGGTATTGGAGAGCGGCCTTGAGTATGTAAAATGGTCTCCATACACCAACGGGCTTGGGCTGCGGTCGTCGTGAAGGAAGCAGAGGACTGGATTCGTTGGCGCTGTTGGATGTCTTCACAGTGGTACTATCCGGTGGTGTTGCACTGCCTTCTATAGTGCTGCTTGAGCTGCTCCAGGCTTCTGCATCCTCTGTGCTGTTGGCCTCGTTATTGCGTGTCTGGGTGGTAGCTGCCCGTCTCCACCGGTGCATCATAAACTTCTCGCCCCAGTGCCATATCGAAAACACCAACAAGACGGCCACCAGGACCAGATTGTAGGTATTCAGAAGCCTCCGACTAAATAGGATAGCAACGACTAGTTTCCTAAAGCGTGGGTCTTTTCCAGGGTCATCAGGATCTACAAGGGGGCCGCCGCCAGCGGCTTTGAAGCTGTCGTATTCATGCTGGAACCACGGTGCTGGGGTCGACGGTGTTGCTGTCAACGCGAAGCGGAGAGCGTCTCGTAGCCACGGTGGAGTAGCTTCCATGGTGCAAGATGAGATGGGTAGAGAGCGGATGCACCGGGAAGCAGTAGCATATCCAGATGGCGCCGTGTTCCCCACAGTGATCGCGTCATGTCACACGCCCATGCACGCGCGCGGGTTGTCACGTGTGATAAGCTAGCTGGCTTATCTCCACCATTATACCGAGGCCTGTCTAACTGAATTGAGGCGGGATGCATTTCTAGCATTGCCATGCTCTGTAAGTGCCTTGTGCAGCTTTGCCATTTTTTAGTAAGAACAGCTGAAGAGCAAACTAATGGCTTAGTTTGGCGACTACATACACATCGTCTCCGTTTTGTCGCTCATTTGTTTGTCCAAGAAGCCTTTTCCTTGGCCGCAAAAGCAGCCATGCCAATCTTCTGGTCCTGGCTTCCAAACAAGCCATGGAACACCCTCCTCTCGTATTCGACACCTTCCCGGATGCCGAGATCCTGGCTCTTGTTCACCACCTCCTTCGCCGCCTTGACTGCAATTTGACTGTAAGATGCGATCTTAGCCGCTGTTGCAATGGCGCCGTCAACGCATGCCTCTGGTGTCTCGAACACCTTTGCGACAAGTCCCCAATCACTTGCTTGCTGCGCAGTGATGTTGTCGCCCGTAAGAACGATCTCCATGGCTCTTGACTTGCCGATTGCCTTTGTCAGGCGCTGCGATCCACCAGCACCAGGGATGACACCCAGCTTGATCTCTGGCTGTCCAAACGTTGCCTTGGGTCCTGCATACATGATGTCTCCCATCATGGCGAGCTCGCAGCCTCCTCCTAGTGCGTAACCGTTGACAGCCGTGATGAGAGGCTTCTTGAGGAATGTAACGAGATCTGACCAAGACTCTATAAAGTCATTGCCATACGCGTCGCTAAAAGTAAGGTCTTTCATCTCCTTGATGTCGGCGCCTGCCGCAAAAGCCCTCTCTGAACCGGTGAGGACGACGGCACCAATTGACTTGTCATTCTGAAAGTCACGCAGGGCCTGATTGACCTCGAGGATCAGAGGGGTGCAGAGAGCATTGAGGGCCTTTGGCCGGTTAAGCTGGACTAGATGCTGTCAGCAGACGTGCTTGGAGCATTGCTGTTACTGTGCAATACAAGATTGATGTATTTGAACGAGGGATTGAAAACTCGTCTTCCGTACTTACTCAAGCCAACACCCTCCTTTGGCACTGACACAAGCACATGCTCGTACGACTTATTGGTAGTGATCCCCCTCACAAATCTAGGTAGGCCGGTAGACCGGAACTGGGAGGCTACCCTTGGGGCTGAGCGGAATGCTTGCATATTGATTATCGTCGATTGAACGTCCACTCTTGAGACCAGCTCTTGGATATTGTAGTTGAATCAAGGAGAGCAAATGTAAAGACGAGAGAGCACATGCAAATGTATGTACATAGCTTCCCTTCCAAGTGGGTAGCATCGGCCACCTCGGTAAAGCGCCCGCCAAAGCCTGGAATTGCTGGGAAGCTGCCAATGACGCCTCTAAACTCTTTTGGGCCCAGCGCCATCCCCAACTGTGTGCCGCTCTCAGCCACAGCCCTGTTCCGCAGGCTCATGATTTTGACACGACTCAACAACTTGCCCCTACTAAAGACGCGCCATTCCGACCACACCATCGCCAGTGTCGCCATCTCCAGGATACAGTCTTCACCGCACAAAACTGAAAATCAAGCGACGCAGCCATGGACGCCCCGGAGCCTGATACCCCCTTCTCTGCGGTCACAGCGCAAACTACAAAGTATGGACGGGTAGGTTATTTCCCCGGGGGGCATCGCGCATTTAATTGCCGACGCGCGATAATATATATGAGGCGACGGAGATAGAGGCAAAACTGGCTTTTGGATGATGGCATATTTGCTAATGCGCTGCGTAGATGTTCCAAGCATACTTAGACAAGTCAACGCCATACACCACATACCGATGGGGAGGAACAGGAGTCCTCTTCCTGCTCTTTGGTCTGCGCATATTCCTCGCTCAGGGATGGTACATTGGTATGCATCTGCCCTTTCACTTTCGACATACCACCGTTCTCGAATGGTCCTATGTGGCGACGCATCTGTTATAATATGCACATTACTGACCACAATTACAGTTGCCTACTCTCTTGGCATCTACCTCCTGAACCTCTTCCTCGCCTTCCTCTCTCCCAAATTCGATCCAGCGCTCGAACAAGATGAGGGCATGGAAGACGGCAATGCCTCTGGCCTTCCTACAAAAGAGGATCAAGAATTCCGCCCATTCGTCCGCAGACTGCCCGAGTTCAAGTTCTGGTACTCGACCACAAAGGCCATTTCCATCGGCTTCTTCTGCAGCTGGTTCGAGATCTTCAACCTGCCCGTCTTCTGGCCCGTCTTAGTCGTTTACTGGCTGATTCTCTTTGGCCTGACCAGTAAGTTCTGTTTACACACGACTCCACGACACCAACTAACCGATTCAGTGCGACGACAAATCCAGCACATGATTAAATACCGCTACGTCCCCTTCACTGTCGGAAAGGCGCGTTACTCGGGTGCTTCCAACTAAGCCAGGCCGCATCAATCTGCATCCATCCACCTTTGCTTTCATCAGATTGTACAACTTTTGGGAAGGGGTTTCGCCCTTGTGCTGCTTGCATCTAGGACACCGGCGCTTTTCCTTTTGGCGCCCGATAGACTTGGAAAGCCTCGTTTTGGCAAAGACGAGAATTGTTTTGGGATTAGTAGTGGTGCGTTGGCTGATACGATAATGGTTGGACGATATACGATGCTGTATGCGTAGTTCGGTTAGACGGCGCGATACAGCTGCAAATGTCAAAAACACGATTAATTCAAGGCATCTGATGTCTTTGCATTTCAACACTGGGGAGATGACTTGTTAGTTTGTGAATTCTGCTGCGGCCTTGTTGTACAAGCACCTTGAACAGGAGTAGTTGAGACGTCGTGAGCGGTATCTACCAAGACTAGCAATAGCGGGGCAACGAACACGAGTTGCAGACCCCCGCCACTTTACTCTACACTACTAATATCAATCTCAGTTTTTCCATCCAGTGGATGTAAAGATACTGTTATGCATTCTAGGTCAGATATCTAACACAAAATAATAAAAAAGAAGAAGAACTTCATGCAACAGCATCAGACAACCGCCCAACAACGCTACTCAAACGCAACAAAAGCATAGACTAAACCGCCACGGCTGGTGGAAAAAAAAGACCAGTCCTACTCAACACGCATAGCAGGAGCCTCAAGCTCCAACTCAGCCAATGATGCCTTCCTCAGCCCCGCACCCGCTTTTGAGCCGTTCTCCTTGACCAGGTCAACTTCTTTTGTGCAAATCCAGGTGGATGCGTACATGTTTACCCTGTAGCCATCACGTTAGTATACTTGCATAGAATATGGTATGAAAAGTAAAGAGTAGGAAAGAGAGGAAACATACCGATCAATACACGTGCCTGGTAACCGGACCGCTACCCTCTTGACCGTAAACCCGCACTCGGCAAAGACCTTGATGTACCATGGCTCCAAGCCCGCACTACGTAGCATAACGCGGCCCTTGACTTTGAGTGCGCGATTTAGCGCGCGGATCTGGCGTAGTGCTTGAGTACCGTTGGGTGGGAACCAGTCCATGCTGTCCATTACGACGACAATAGTAAGAGTGCCGGGTCGCATGCGCGAAATGACTTCTGAGATTTCGTCGGTGTGGATGCGTAGACCGTTGAAGGCACCGGGTTTGGAGAGCTTGACATGTGACTTGGGGGAGAGGTAGGTAGGGTGCGAGGTTGGGGTGTAATGGCCGAGGAGAGTGAGCAGGTAGTAGTGGTTTGAGGTGCTGAGGAGTGTGGTGTTGACTACGGGCTCGAAGGTGTTGAGGACGTATTCGTAGATTGCATTGCCGCTTGAAGACTTGAGTTCCTCGTCTGAAGGTTCTTCGTGGAAGGCCATGTATTCTGCAGCGGCATCTTTGGGTTTTGTTGCTTTGGCCTCGTCGTAGTCTTGAGTCTTTTTGAAGTCGACTTCGATGACGTCGCGTTGGGCAGGGGGGACACCGAGTGCTTTCCACAACCACTTCTCGTTGCCGAGGATGGCGTAGGTGAGGATCTTGGAGTGGAGCACGGTCTTGATGCTGCGTTGCCAGATTTCACGCTGCTCGTTGAGGGTTTGCGCCGCACACATAGCTTTGACGTCAGCGGTCATTCCTAGGAGGCGGAAGAGCCAACCGGCGATTGCAATGGCATTTCCAGAGCCGCCAGAGTAGTAGAGACCCTTGGAAGACGAGGAAGAGAAGATGGAAGGGCCATTTTGGACCCAGAATTGGAACGCATCGGAGGAGAGGTGCGGGCTGAGCTTCTGGATGAGTAGGTTGTGGAAGTCGGGGTGCTTGCCTTCACCAAAGAGTTTCCAGACATCTTGGTAGCCGAGTGATGTGAAGGCAGCGACTTTGAGCTCAAGCAGATGATTCTGTGACGGGTTGAGGTCTACAGCATGGACGCGACGGCAGTTCTCTAGGCAAAAAGCAAGAATGTTGTCTCCAGCAGATCCAATTGCGAGGACGACGTCGTTGGAAGTTGGCTTCAGAAGTCGCATATCAGCCACATCGTCTTCCCAGGTAAATGCGTAGATGTACGAGTTGTTGAAACGAGTGTGCTTGGGAAGGGAAGAGTCGTAGTGAATGCGCCAGTGGTGGTTTTGGTACCATGCTGATGGAAGAGGCAAGCTGGACTGTAGATTGACGACTGCGCATTCGTATGCTTTCGAGTGGACTTCTGCGTCGCTTGGTGCAGCTCCTGTTTGAAGGTCAAGCGCATTGAGGTATGGCGACTCCGTAGCAGCGGCATCAATCTTGGCAAGTTTTTGAGTGGAAGCACCGTGGTCCTTTGAACATCCAATCCAGATGTAGTAAGGTAGCTTGATACCAGTGTTGAAGAAGTTGTTTCTGGCGTTCATGCTTAGGATTGTGCCGTGTTTGAACTCCAAGTAATCCTGGCACAGGTTAGAGCCCGTTGTAAACTTTGAAGAACTTA